TTAGTCTTAACAACGACCCACGCACGAGAATTGTCCTCCATCTCCACCTAGCTAAGCTAACTACCAACCCTAATTTCCACATTAATTATCTTTCGTTTATCATCATCACCACCTAGTTTAAGGCTGTGGGTTACCCCTCCATGATTTAACATTATATGCAAGTTTCTATCCGTGTGAAATAGCGGTAAGAGACGGGAAACACAGAGTGACGCATTCGATATCAACTTCGTGACTCTTCAGTAGCTATCGCTGTTATGACACGGTCCAATCAAGTAGCCCTAGCAATTACGTTAGTTGAGAATAATGTGGCTGGCTAGAAGCCTGATTTACGTAAACCTATTTGTAGGGCGCCTTAGCGTCTTATTCTACAAACGACAACACATATATAGTGACAGTTTTTCTGTTTCTTTCGTTGAAACCCCCCAATAGTATATAGACAGATAGCTAAGATGGTTCAATAATTAACGTCAAAATTGGCTTTCTCTACTCTCTCTAGTTCATACCTACACGTCCTTCACCATCTAAGGAAGTTAGTTAATAACATATGCCAAGAAATTACTCGTGTGAATCCGTTTAAATGTATTTGTAAAAGAAATCTCCGGGAAGACAAGAATAACTAATGAAATGTAGTGATCATGTCATTCTAACCTTATAAAACTCTCTTTTAGGTTCTTTGCTATCTGATTTATTAGATATGTTTATATATGATGCCTATTTTATCGAAAAAATAGTGTCATAAAAATCAACAACAATCCCTTGTAGACCTGACAATCGGGTCGGGTTGAATAATTTCGGGCTGGAGTTTCAGGTTACGGGTCGGGTCATGTTGGATTGGCTTACTTTGGGTTAAATATTGAACCAACCCATTAGGTTTCGGGTCAGGTTTCGGGTCGTTTCGGGTTATGAGCATTCTCAGAAACAGTATCAAACATACTTCATATTTTTTTAAAGAACACAAATCTTCACATATGCATGGCAATAGTTTACCTAACACATGTCAATTAACATATTCTCAAATCTTTCCATGCTAATGAAATGAAATGCAAATTACACAAATCGTTAAAAAACAATCACAAGAGTAATACTACTATAAGAAACACATGATATTTGATTATCCTTAAACTCCAAACATGTCTTTCAAATCCTTGTGAATTTTTTTTTAAACATCTCACCAATTTATGAGTGATTTTATCATTTTGGGAGTTATGTATGAAATGGAACGGGTCTAATGGGTCGACCCGCTAACCCACCGAACCCGATCCAAAAATTACGGATTATCGGTTCGAGTCATTTGGATTTCGGGTCATAAGAAATTCTATTTTTTGGGCGAGTTCGGATCTGGTCAATGAGTCGGATTGTAATTTGCCAGGTCTAATCCCTTGCATGTGTATTAAAATGAACCAATTCTTACTATACGGTGACCCGGAAAGAGATCAAAATGAACTTATATCCATCCCATTCCCCATTTATAAATACCAAAATCCATACTCACTTCATAAGCATATAGATGAAGGTTTTGCAATCTCATTTCATACCCGTAGTTTTTAGTATTCATAGGTACATAATACCCACCCCTCATTCAAAATAACTATATCTAAAATTCAACAAGTAGATCTTCAATTATTATAATATTAACAAACCTAATAAATCTTGAAATCAATAAAAGATACAACATTTCTTAATAGGAATTCGAAGCATTCAACCTCAAACATTCATAAGACTTAAGTGTAATACTACCCAAATTATTCATCTTAGACTCCAACACATTTATCTGGATCATTTAATATTACTATACCTAGTATAATCTTGTTAAAAAAGGGAAAATATGTGGAAAATGTAGGACAAATTGAGAGAAACAAATTATGATTTGGTTTGAGTGGCTACTCAATTACATTTTTGTTCTTTATATTTTATATATTACCCTTTTTTCATTGGTAGGTTACAATTTGACCCCTTTAATTTTTTTATATATGAACAAATATTCTTAATGGAGAGGGTATGGGGCGGGGAAAACCAGATTTATACCCGCCCTATCCCTATAAAATTTTTTGTGAATTTTACTTATACCCACCTCATATCCAGTCAATGCAGAGATTTCCTCATTTGACTTAATGGAGATGGTTGCGTACCCAATGATACAAAACATTTTACAAAAAAGAGGTAGTTAGGTGTCGAAATTGGGTTGCTCAATTAGTACGTACTATATTGTTTGTTTTGGGCCACGTCCGCATAGTTCTACTCTTGTATATTTTCCACAAAATGCATCGTACTAATTGGGCTAGATGGACACTAATATATAAAGATTGCTTCCCTTCCATTGTATTTCCAACGATGATACTTGCTGCCATAACACTAGGTCAGTGAGATCGAAGTTGGAAATGCAAGTGCGTGGTCGACCCATGTGCTGGCCACCTAACCCTAATCAAGGACCCGCCAACCATATAATATGCGTCGGCCATGCATGCCAATGCCATCCATCTCTGCCTTTCACTTTCGGCACCATATATTCCAATTCCATGGCTGACCTATCTAAAGCCAAAAATGCCACCCGGCCGCATCCGACTCCCAGGCCGGCCATTCATAATATTGCTCTCCTCGCATTGGGGCGGGCGGATCTACTATTATGTCAACTTCCCATGTGACTGTTCCTCCCTCCCTCTCCCTCTCTCTCTCTCTCTCTCTCTCTCTCTCTCTCTCTCTCTCTACAGATTAGTTAAACAAATCAATATAAGTGGCCGAGGTGGAAAATGATCCATCATGAGGAAACCGCGATATGGGTTCCAATTCCAGTTTCAGATTTGATCCGACCGGTTTTAATTAGTCAACTAAATGGGCTACCATTATTTAGACGGATCAGAGTTAAGTTAGCCTACACATACAAATTCTAACCGATCTAGACCCTCCTAATTTATAACAATCGTTATTGACTATTATATCATATACCCTTATCATAACATGTATAAAAATATGTTTGAATACCCACAGATGGTGATATAACAGTCGATCATGGTTCAAGAGTTTTACTTGTGATTCACAAGCGAGAACAAAGGCGGACCTACCTTAGAGGAAGGTGTGTCACCCGACACATCTTTGCTTAAATTTTTTGTGATGAACCCACATTTTCCTGTACAACAAAATTCGAACATGAGACATCCGACACACATTTGATAATTGTAATCGACACACCTTGTTACATTAAATTTTTGTTGTTGTCATATTGTTAAGAAAATATGTAAATATAGGAGTTATCGGACTTTAGACTAGGTATTTAATTAATTTATTATAAAAAAGTAAACAATTAATTGACTACTTAGTACGTAGTGAGTATTCTGAGAGCTATCACCTTAGAGATAACCTCTATAAATGGAATGAAAATTGAATTGATTAATAAGCTGGTTGAGTCAAGTAATCGGACAGTGAATTCCATGTCGTGTTTCCCGGTAGCTTCTTCCATATTTTTTTTCATAAAGTTAATTTCCAACTTGCTTTCTAGTTTAGTTATTGCTTTTCACGTTGACACTTGTCGCCACTCGCCGCCCTCCAATTGTCGATGTCGTGCCAGTGGAATCCTCATTCTCATTCAAATTTCCACTTTGACGCTTGTGGCCACCTTTCAACTTCCCATCCTAGTTTCCCCATCTTAAACGAGTGTTGACTTTACCTCTTGCAATTGCAAGCTACAAAATGTATTTTCATATATGAATAATTGTTTAGTTGTTTATATAAAAAATATTTGATTTGCTACTTAATGGACAAATATAATTAAGAAATCTACAAAATATGAAAATTCGTCATGACTCACTGTAAACACAATGAAATTGGCGAAATTTATGAATAAAATATATATTTTATATTTATGTTTAATTATTTAATTTTGAATTTAAAATTATTTTTATGATTCAACTCACCTATCTCAAAATCCTGTATCTGCCACTTAGCGAGAATACAACTTAGAAAACCTGTTTTGTTTGTTGATTGAATGATCCGGACTAAACCATAATGACAAAAATATAAACAATAAAACCTAATACGTAATAGTAGCAAACCCCCAAATCCTAGTCGGCCACTAACCAAACATAACTACTAATCCCAAAGGCCCAAGCCCAACCCAACCTCATCAGGCGGGTGATGGACCAAAATGATGTTTATTCAGCCATCTCCGTTAACTATTTCAAAATTTGAGGCACCCACCCAGTTTTGATAAAAGAAGATTAACAGAAGTGATCAGTAGAGAGGGAGATAGAGAGAGAAAAGTGATATAGCTTTGTCGGGAGGGTTAGCACCTTACTAATCATTGTAATCATCGTTCATTTGTTTTAAGTAAATTTGACGGTGGAGATGATTGAGGGGTATATTTGGTATTTTCTGAAATTAAATATTTAATTAATTTTTTGAATTTTTTTCTCTCTTACGAAGAATTTTTTTAACGTGAAAAGTACTACTAGAGCCTTACAGTAGTGTTTTTTGTATAAGCATCGTAGTTTTTTTTAAGTAGTAATTTTGGTGGCTTGTAGTAGTATTTTTTATATAAGTACACTAGATCTAATTTAATTTGTAGTGATTTACCAATAATTAAGTAGTAATGGATGCCAAATTTTAGTAAAAATCACTACTAGAAATAATAAATTACTATTAAAAATGAAAAACTACTACTACTTATAAACAAAACACTACTAATATTAACAAAAATCAATAATTACAATAAGAATCACTACTTCAAAATAACTACTACATTCTAATATATCCAACTACCGAATCACTACAAATTTTAGGAAAAATCACTACTAAGAAATAATAAATTACTATTACAAATGAAAAACTACTACTACTTATAAACAAAACACTACTAATATTAACAAAAATCAATAATTACAATAAGAATCACTACTTCAAAATAACTACTACATTCTAATATATCCAACTACCGAATCACTACAAATGAACGCAGATACACTAATATTTACAACCATATACACTATTACATCAAATAATCACAACTAATAAACCCTAGGATAGATCAATGGCTCTTTGATAATAGATTCGGCAAAATCTCATCACCACACCCACCAAAACGTCACAAAGTCGCAGCTTTTTGCATGTTGCTTGCTTGCATCAATATACCTTACGTTCCTTTCTTAATAAAGGGTTTTGACCATCAAATCAAACACACCTCTTTCTCACCATTCGCTCATTCACTGTTTGCGACTATCCGATTTCTCCATGGCCTTGGACGCGGAACTGGCAGCGGAGCACCAGATCTGGGCGGTGGTGGACCTGATTCAGGAAGGGATGAGGCAGCATGAGAGAATATCGTTGATTTTCTCCTATTCGATGGCGTCGAATGCACCAGATCTCGGCAGCGGTGGACCTAAAAGAACCGTCATCGCCAACATCTCTTCGGCCATAGACGGTGACGAGAACACCCTCTCCACCACCATCAGCGCCTCCTCCGTTGCAAGCCTTTTTGTAGGTTTTGAGTTTTGACGAGAGATCGGAAGGAAACCGTAAAAGTGAGAAAGAGGGGGATCGTGAGTATTTTTACTAGGGTTTTGAAAATTATTGAGTGAATTACCCCTTGATTAATACTAACCCTAGGATTATTATTCTAATCTAGCTAATGGTTGTTAGTGTAGTTAGTATGGTGCTAACCCCTTAAGAGGTTAGCACCTAATCTAATTCCGTCGAGACGATCTTCCTTTATTTATGTTCACCATGATCCTACTTTGACGGTGTAAAGAAAAAGAAGAAAAAAGTCCAGCCTCCTCCTCCGCCCTTGCTGTTTGTTTCTCCAACTTCTCAACTATTTCATCATATCACTTCACTTTCTCCTTCTCGATCCTCCCTTCCCTTCCCTTCCCTTCCCTTCCCTTCCTCTTTGTTTCTTCTTTCAAAGCAGGATCGTCATGATTTGGATATACATACAATACAATACACATAGTCTGACACTACAAAATTGGGCGACTATGGGGACTATAATAGGGGACAACTATGAGCTTTAGTCCATGGATTTGGTTTAAGCTTAACCTAATAAACCCTAGTTTTTATTTATACCGGCCTCCGACGCTTTGACTTCTACTCCATGTTTTGATCATTCCTGGCTCTTCCTTCTCTTCTACCGGCCTCCGACTCTTTTTCACAGTTCTCATCTTCTTTTGTTCATGCCATACCCTCTTTAGAGGTAAGTTTTGATGCAGGTGATAATGATATTGTTTCTTACTAGTAGATCCATCTTTGTTAAGCTCCTAACTGTTTATTTTTCTGTACTTTGACGCTAATGGCCACCGTCGCTATGAGAAAAGAAATTCTCAGTGTGCAGATATTCGGGAATCAGGTGTCAAGGGTTAGATAGGAACGAGCGAAAGAAACAAATGACACTGTCTTTGGGGGAAAGGGTGCAGATTGTTGCATTGAAGCTTCTGGCTTCTACGCCTGTAGTGTCGATGGTTTGATTACATGAAGTTCATTATTTGGAAGGCATCACACGCATGATAAATGCTATTCTTCTTTTCTATTCCAAAAGTTGAGATAATGATTAGTTCCCTCTATCTTTCTTTATCATCACCACATACATAATAAATCAATTGTGAATTTGGTTTCTTATATACAAATACAATGGTGTTAAAAATTACATGTATGATTATTTTTTGTCCCCTAACCTACACGTTTAATGGACAACTATTCGTCCCTAAAATTCACACAGGTGACTATTTATCATCTCCAAAATTATAATATAAGCAATCATTTTATTGTCCTTAAATAAAATTATTTATGACGATTTGTTGACACGAATTCGACTCTTATGAGTACAACATGTTGTCCCTACAGAAAAGGGAACGATATTTTTTATTTTTAAAATATTGTTGGGGACGACTTCTTGACATCACAGTCGTAGCTATGAGGATGACATGTCCTCTTTCATAAAAAAAAATGAGATAACAACTTGTAAGTACTGGGGACGACTGTCGTCTCTAGTATTGGGGACGACCTAGATATTTGTCATCCCCAAAAGAATAGAGGACAAGCGTATAGGGGACGAAATATTTTTTTTCCGTTGAATTAGGGGACGAAATATTGGGAACAACAAAGTCGTTCCTAAAAACTCTGGGGGCGATTTTGTCTATTTCCGGGGACGACTTTTGTTGTCCCTAAACCTACTATTTTTTGTAGTGAGAGTGCAACTCTTGTTGATTATGGGTCCAAAAAAACTTCCCATAATAATAAGGGGTGGCCCAAAACCGAGTCGCACATAGTGATCAGGGCTTGTCGTGGAGGACGTGTGAGTTGGGGTTGTCAAAAAGGCAATTGTGATGCCACTTTTTTTTTTTTTTTTTTGCATAAAGGGAGGCAAAGCCAAGAACAGAGAGGTTACAGGGGAGGGAAGGAGAGGGGAGGGGAGGAGGAAGGAATTACAACCCGCCTTTGAAAGGCAACACCCTGAACATCATCCCGCAGAATGGAGAGCAGACCGGCTGGAGGGTGCGCTAGCTCATGTACCCCATAGGGATAGACGAGACTGTGCTTCGAAAGCCAGTCCGCGACTCTATTCCCTTCACGGTATACATGAGATATACGCACCAACCAGTCCCTACTGATTTGCCTGCGGATAGAGGACAACAAAGTAGCATACGGATGAACTGGATCGTGCCTGTCATTGATTAACTGAATAGCAAGCTGGGAATCGGATTCAACCAAAAGAGCTCGGCATCCGGACTTCCAAGCTATATCCAAACCGTAGTGGAAAGCCCATAATTCGGCCAAGGCGGCTGAGGCCTCGCCAATCTTTGCCACGAAGCCGGAGATCCACTCGCCACTATCATCTCTCAAAACCCCGCCAGCTCCAGCTAGACCGGGATTGCCATTTGAAGCTCCATCCAGGTTGAGTTTCATCCACCCGCCCCGCGGCGGATCCCAGGAAATATCAGCCATAACCCTGCTGGGAGGAGCAGATCGCAAACTAGGCAGCAGGGATGGGGCTATCCAGGCTGCGTGCCATAGCCTGACCTTTGCCATAACAGAATGAGCAAGGGACGGGGCAGTGAGAGTGGAGGATATGCCCTTGAAACAAAGATCATTCCTGTTTTTCCAGATAATTCACACTGCAATACTGAAGAAGGTTGACCACGGGATTCCCTGGGACACCTCCTCTACGTCAGCTAGATTAAAGCAAAGCCAATCTTCAGTGGTTGAAGTGAAAAACCGTTGCTGCTTGTTGCTAGGAACATGTCTGGTTCACAGGAAGCTGGCAGGTGGGCAGTTTCTAAGGATATGAATAATTGTCTCCCGCTGCCCATTACAGCGAGCACAGTTCGGAGAAGGAGCACACTTCCTGGAGAAGCGGAGGGCATTTGTCGCAAGCTTCCCCAAACAAGTAAGCCAAACAAAACAGCGAACCCGCTCGGGAACAGGTAGACTCCAAATGAGCTTCAAAAACTTCGCATCCGAGTCAGTACCAGGCGGCAGAAGAGACTCATAGGCAGTTTTGGTGGAGAACTTCCCATTAGAAGATAGAGTCCAGAAAAGAGTATCTTTCTCGGTTGAGAATTTATCCACAGCTGCGCTTGTAATCTTGTCTTGAATATCCATGGGAAGTAAGCCTGCGAAGCACTCTGTACACCACATGCCATCCTCATTGGTCAGGTCTGCTACCATTTCTTCTAAGCGTTCAGCCGGAATCTCCTCAAGCGCCATATCCTTCAGCGGTCCCTGCAAAATCCAAGGATCAAGCCAGAATTTAGTGGCATTACCATTCTTAATATTCCACGCACAACCGCTTCTCAAAAGCGTAGAGGCCGCAGATAGGCTTTTCCAGGTAAAGGAACTTCCCTGAACTGGTCGAAGCAGATCCAAGTTTTCTTTGGAGCTCCCATACTTGGTTTTAACAACCTGAGTCCACAACGCATCTTTTTCTTTGATCAGTCTCCACCCACAATTGTGATGCCACTTTCTTTCCGTTTTCAAGGAAACACATGGTGTGGACTTTAATTATTCGGAAGCTGACTTGATTAAGACTTAAGAGAGAAGATAGATAGAGACTAGAGAGGAAGGATGAAGGGTAATTATTATTATTATTATTATTATTATTATTATTATTATTATTATTATGGCCCTTTCTTTCCTCATCCCTTAATGAGGGTGTTTCGGTGCTGAGATTCATGCAATTGATGATGATGGTCTGGTGGTTGTGTAGTTTACCTTGTCTTCCCTTCCCTTTCCTTTCCTTTCATGTGTTGGACACAACTTGGTATCATGTCCCGTATTAATGTCGAGGAAACTACATATGAATGTGAAGGACAACCATCAATGAATTGTGTCCAATCCAGCGATTCATAACGTCTGAACTAATCAGTGATTAGTATAATATTGTCCTCTTAATTTGGATCAACCTCCCATTGATTTACTTTTGAGTATCATGATCAAAAGGTCTCGTACTATTGAGTTATGTTGACACTAATATATATGCATGGGTCCCTTGTATAATATTTTCAACGTGGTACTTGAATTATCCCATAACCAATGTTGTCATAACCGAACCGGTGTATGACCCGGTAACGTGAACGGCTCGCACTTTAGTGGTTCAACCGCTATAAAATCGTTAAAAAGCCTTTAAAAAACCGATACCCTAGAAACATTAATACCATAAGTAGAAGACACATAAGATAATAATTTCATAATTTAATGGCTAAAATGAATTTTACTTTACTGGTACCATTTTGTAATTTTGCATTATATATACACATTGGCATTGAGAAACCCTACCCACCCATTATAGCGGCCGCCCCTTTCATCTCTGTCAGTTCCTCTCTTTCTTTTCTTCCTCTAAAATGAACAATCCTTCATTTGATTTCTATTTCAATTCCTCATCTCTCTCCTGTGATCCAGATCCCATTATTTCCTTTTCCTCCATCCTTTCCTTCCTTTTATCGTTCACTTGTAGATCTCCTTTCTTCCTCTCATTGGCAGAGGAGCAACAGGAGCTGCTGGCGCCAGCGGCGCGAGAAGAGGAGCACGGTGCACTGGGCTGGATGTGGAGGGTGTCATCGGCAGTGGTGAGGTCGAGGAAGTCCGACGGTGGAAGTTTGACGACGGCGACAACAAGGATTGGGGGTCGCTGATAGCGGGCTCGCTTTTTTTCAATTTTTTTATTTAATCCCAACGGCCAGAATGGTTAAACCGGGTGGTCGGCTCGAGCGGTTAACTGCCTCAGCCGCTCGCTGACCGCTTCATAAAGCCGTTCCGGCTAAATGACTGTGGCGAACCGGTTTTACAGCCGGGTGACGGTTTTAGCGGTCCGACCGGCCGGCTCGGCCCGATCTTAATAACACTGCCCATAACAATTCTCCCCTCAAGATAAGGTCCACGAACTTTGTGTCCTCTCCTCAGTTATTATCTTGATCTGCCAGACACTTTGTATCGACATGCTCTTTGACACAAGAATTTACCATACGCATATCTCCATTCAGAGGCGGACCCAAGTAGGGCCAAGGTGTGTCGAGTCGGCACACCTTTGACCGAAGATTTTGTGAGAGAGCCCAGTTTTGTCGGTACAAAATATTCGATTCCGAAACTTCCGCACACCTTCGATAATTGTAAGCGACACACCTTTATAATGCTTAAAGAAATTTATTGTTATTAAGTTATATATATCTATATATATATATGTATACGGTATTTATATAGTTTTTCTTAACATTAATGAACAAAATAATTTTTAGTTTATTTTGCAAGACCACAACCCTTTATTACGAACACAACATTTTATTCTGCCCTTTATTAAACAAAAGAAAAAAAAAATTTCATTTAAGAATAAACCGGACCGCTCCGCCAACTTTTTTATTTAAAAATTATATCTCATGTCAAGGAAAGATAATGCTTTAATAAATTGCAAAAAAATTAATCGAGTGGCTAGAATAATGGTGGAAAGAGGATAGTATACTTATTATCCTTTGGTTAATTTTCTTTTAAACTTAATATTGATTTTGTTTGTTGCAACTACATGTTGCGAATGGGTCTTCTTTGTTATAAAGTTAATCAAAGACAATCTTCATAATCAGTTGAATGTCCAATTTACGACTGATTGTTTAGTTATGTGTATAAACTTTTTTTGATTTGCAACATAAGCAATGAATGTATTTTATAAACCCTTCTGAATATGAAAAGTCATTGTGATTTTTGTAAAAACAATGACAATGTGAACTTTATGAATTTATTTATTTAATATATAACTATTATTGGCCGACTCTCCTATTCAAAATCCTGGGTCCTCTACTATCTCCCTTAACGTGCCATAAAGACACAAATCTTCCCCCAGTTCGCCAAACAGATGCAGATCTTCCTCGATTCCCCAAAATAACGCATGTCTTAGATCGCGATGTTGCCGAAGGAGAGTCCACCGAACCGACATCCCGCGTCCACTGGCTGAACCGAATCTGAACCAGGTTCTGATACCACTTGTCGAAACCGAATTGAGCATTAGTACGATATATATTGTCTGATCTAGACCAAGCCAACATAGATTCATTTTTAGGTATCCTCTCTAAAAAGCCTCATACTAATGAACTAAGTGAACACTAATACATATATTGGTCACTTTCTTTGTATTTCCAATGTGTTACTTGATTTTTTTTTTTTTTTTTTTGTGACTGATTGGTTCCATTTGGAAATGGGGTTTGGTTTAACTGCCTCTGATTTTCCCATATAGATAGAATCAAAAGTGAGGAGGACACATATGCATATAATATGGGTGGAAACAAAGGGACAATACGAGTTGCTAGGCAAGAAGGAGACGGTGAATACTGGGGAAAAGTTTACCTTCCCGTATTGACACCGATCGATACATAGCTAGGTAGCTGCAGTTATAGGCTGGCAGATCAAGATCATAGTTAGGAAGGATCTGTCACAACTTTACTTTTGAAGAGAGTAGTAATAAAACAGGTGATGAGATGAGAGAGCTTTTTCTGGGTCTCTGGTCTCCCTAGGTTCAATCTCCTTTTTTCTGCTTCAATTTATGACCTTGAAGGAAGGTCACCTGGCCTACGTACGTACATAATTTGAAGAAAATAAGATATATGTAAGAGTTTGCAGCAGACGACGGTCCAGCTTGGCTAGCTGCTAGTCATTATATTGGACCAGCTACCTAACCTAGCTAGCACTGGCAGCATAGTGTGGGGGTTGGTCCAGTAGTCTGTCCGTGCATGTATTTATATATCATTAGTCCAACGGCTGCCGGCCATGAGATCGGATCTCAATGATATATATATAGTTTCTTCTATCATACTTGAGGCAAAATCTCCAATGCAGTATATTTTCAGTGTGAAAAATCTATCATGACATTGAATTAACCAAATTTTAGAGTATGATATGATACTATACTCAATGAGTGAATCCTAGATTTTAATTATATAAATTATACACCCTGAACACTAAGATGATGTATATAATTTGTTGGGTGTATATTTTTGGTTGCTAACAATTGGTCTTATAATATGAGATTTATAAAATTAGGACTTAAATTAAAGCATAGTATCACATTCCAAATTAAACTCGGGTCAATTAAAAGTCTAAATATCATTTTAACATGACATGCTTTTAATTTTACTCTTACAAATACAACTATAGGTGGGGCAGGTAGCTGTAAGCGCTTGGCTGCGTTAGCTAGCCACCCAGCCACAATCTTCATTAATATATTGTTAGTATATGCCACTTACTAATTTATAATGATTCCCTTCTACTGCATGCATGTGTGGAATTGTAATGTATAGGGTTCATCATCAGTAGACGTGTATGTGCTAATTAACAATGATTTGCTTGTTATTATATATATATATATATATATAATCAAGTAGCGCTAAGAAGGATAAATATTAATTAATTATAACACTGTCAGCACGTAGTTGTTGGAATTTGGATCCACTTTTTGCTTGCAGTGATAATAAGGAAAAAGAAAAGACAAAGCGATATGCTCTGGCTTGGTTCGCGATGTACTTTTCTAATTCACCATTAACTAGGTGTGTCATGAAGCAATTAAATTCGAATATTTATTTACGTAGTTAACAATTCTTGCATTGCATGATGTATATATATACGATGACCTATATTACCAGCAGACTGTTTAAATAATAATAATAATAATAATAATAATAATAATAATAAGGCTCATAAAAAGGATTGGCTATAGCCTATAGGTAATGACATCCTAGAGCAATTATACAAATGTAACTGCATAAGATCCAATGGTGTTTTAACCTTTAAATAATTCTCAGGAATCAGCTGGTCGCCATAATTTGAGTTCTTGAATTAGTGTAGTTATATCAAGAACAAGCAATAACGAGGATAGATGGACACAAAGAGTTTTTAATGTGGCTTTCTCGATTGAATGTTAATCCATAACGATATTTATATGACATTTTAAACCTAAAGTGTGATCATCTATATGACACACCTATTAATTATATAGTTATATTTGGAATTTAATTCGTGTTGCATTTAATAATTGTTGAGAATTAAAAACTCATATTAATTACATTATTTTTTTGAACTACCATTGCACCTGATATCATTGATACAACTATCAATGCACCGAAAAATGAAAATAATTAATATGAGTTTTTAATTTTGAGAGATTATTAAATACAAATACAAATTAATTAATTACTTTAAAAGCCGTGTATGTCATTTTTCCAACCCTTAGGCATAAAATAATGACAAATGAGCATTAATGATACCATTTAATTAATGAGGAAAGAAGATTAAGCTTAAGCAGGATCGAGAAAAACGGTGATCCGTGGCAGACCAAATATAGTGATTGAGCACAGACCATTCCCCCATCTCCACGCACAAAGAAATTAAAAGTAGGCTTTAATTTTATCTGATCTTAACTAATACACGCTTTTGCTTTTCTTCCAACCAAGCTTCACAATTCAACAATCTTAGGGTTTTTTTTCTCCCTTCCTTTTATTCCCTCTTGTGTGCTTTTGGGATAGCAACCAAGTGACATCGTTGCAGTTCCAGTCATCATCATGACAGATTCACTGTTCCCTTCCAGTGTCCAACCTTCTAACTTTGACCAAACAACAAACAAACAGTAATAATAACTATAACCATAATGGTCGGGCGGTAAAAATAGCTTTGTGGGGATACTACTGGATCTGGATCAATGGATGATGATGGTGCAGAACGTGTATGAACCAAAAGCGACATTCAACCACACTGGCTGTTGCTGCCATTTCCCACTTTCAATATCATAATAGTATATATTGGTTTTGGTACGTGCACGAATCTGGTTTAGTTGCTTGCTTGATTGCTCCTCCTGGCTTGTTGTTTAGCGACTGCTTTCCGAGAAGGCTCTCACTTTGGAGCATGCATAGCATTATTCTCTATCACTTTCTTTTTTACTGTGCCGTTGAGACCAGGAAAAGGAATAGGGCTATGATGCTTACTTTTACCAGGAAACCAGAAAAACAAAAAAAATATGGTGTACTAGCTAGTAGCTACACCTATTCTCGTGCCTGTGTAAGTGAGTGGTTGCCTCATCTCTCCGAATCTGGTCAATCACTAATCAATTGCATGAGAGCAATATAGGTGTTGAATGAGACTTCGAATGATAAACATCATGTTGATATGACTTGAATCGGATTATCAGCCGCTACGACTGGTAATCGGGGGTTTCGGGTTCTGGGCCTGGTCTGTAACCGTTTCCTTTGCCAGATTGGATTAGGTTTAGACCCACATGGAAAAGTGCTATATATACTTCTCATACTCCTCTGTAATCTGTAATCTCCTTGATATAGTGAAACTGGCTCTCTCTCACCTGTGGACGTAGCTAACACACATCGTGTTAGTGAACCACGTAAATCGTGTGTCGTGTTTTCGATTCTCGCTTTCGTATTCTTGCTTTGTCGATTCCTGCGATTTTCCGATCCGTAGCAGCGCGTTTATAACAAGTGGTACCAGAGCCGCGGCTGGAAATGAGGCTAGGGTTTCGATTCAGAAGAATGACGTCGGTGAACATGAAGATCGAAAAGTTCACGGGGAAGAACAGCTTCGCTATATGGCAGATCAAGATGCAGGCTTTATTAAAACAGCAAGGGCTGTAGGGGCCGCTGTCTGCGAAACAGAAGAAGGCAGCGGTCGATGACGATGAGTGGAACACCCTGGAGGAGAAGGCCCACTCGACCATCATGCTATCGTTGTCTGATGACGTCATCATTGAAGTCGCTGCTGAGAAGACTGCCGCGGGCTTGTGGTTGAAACTAGAGAGTCTGTACATGACTAAGTCTCTAACCAACAAGCTGCATATCAAGCAACGGTTGTTCAACTTGAGGATGCAAGAAGGTACTCCTTTGAGGGAACATCTCGAACAACTTAACTCTATTTTGCTGGATCTGTGTAATATAGATGTTCAAGTTGATGACGAGGGTGCTGCCCTAATCCTGCTAGTTTTTTTGCCGAGTTCATATGAGAATTTCGTTGATTCTTTTATTGCCGGTAAAGAAAGCGTGTCGTTGGAGGATGTCAGGTCTGCTCTTCATACGAGAGAGATCATGCATAAGGCGTCTGGTTCTGGTACAGGTGGTGAGGCATCGGGTTTGGCTGTTACAGGTGGAAAGGGAAAGAAGAAATCTGGTAAAGGGAATT